TAACTTTCTTCAAGAAAAGGATATGTAATGCCATCACAGGCTTCTGTTCAAAGAGGAACTTAGACCATTTCTCTGAAACTAAGATGCTATGGTCCTCATCATATGTATAGTGGTCTACTATAAATTGGACTGAATCTTCAGCCCAGGTATGACATGGAAAGGTTTTTCTTAGTTGGTTATCTTCAATTCACTTATCTTTTGATCTTTCTTCAAGAAAAGGATATGTAATGCCATCACAGGCTTCTGTTCAAAGAGGAACTTAGACCATTTCTCTGAAACTAAGATGCTATGGTCCTCATCATATGTATAGTGGTCTACTATAAATTGGACTGAATCTTCAGCCCAGGTATGACATGGAAAGGTTTTTCTTAGTTGGTTATCTTCAATTCACTTATCTTTTGATGGTTTTCATTTTTAAGCAGAGAAGTGAAGATGAGTGCTACTTAGCATGGCAACTTGTAGCATCCAAATGGCAAGAGTGACTTTGAAAGTTGTATATGGTGATAATAGTGTTCATATGCGTTAAACAGATATCGTGGTATGCTGCCTAAGTCATTAACTCACGATCAACAGTTCCTGTTGGGTTTGGCCTTTTTATAGTAATTGACATCTAATTGTCTCAATTTTGTTGCATTTTTTAGCCCGTAACTTTTGCAACAGTGCAGTGAAATGAAGTTGTGACATTCCTAACAGAATGCAATAGAATAATAAAAGCACATGATGTATTGTAGCAGTAGATGGCTTTGTTGGTACTTTTCCATTTGGAAAGGTCTTGACATCTCAATGGAACACCAAAAATCTCTACAGAAAAGGTTTTGGTTTGGGTTTTTCCATTTTGGAAACGTATTCTGTACTCTCCAGTTTAAAAGTGCTGGTTTTGGGACTAAAATCTTATTTTTGTCTGTGTAAGCCTATGCATTCAGGAAGAGATTTGGAAAAAAGTTAGTGATCTTGTCACTCTCCGCATTAGCCAAAAATTCTTATTCCTGGAGCTCTGCATCATTTCTGTACTCTCATATTTATGTTTGCAACTTCAGCTACCTAGTTATTTGAAATCTATCTTTTTATTTTCTATTTGTGATGAAACTTTATTGTGGCATTTTATTGCAGTTTCTCCAAATGAAGAATCATTTGAAGATTTGACAGAAGAAAGTATAACACTTGCTTGGAACAATATTGCCAAACTAAAATTAGATGAACAATATAAAATTCACAAAGAGTAGGTACTATTCTTTTCTTTTCAGAGTCAAAATTGATTCATTTAATTGGGGGGTGGAGGTATCTGCGTGTCAATCTGAATGATGAGTTAGGGTTTAAGGTAAATACTTTTCTTTGAGATAGCTCATTGATTTGATTACACAAGATGAATTTGAGTATATGATGGGTTATCAATCCAGAAAAGACATTTGTCAGTTTGAATTTTTTTTTTTTGTTCCTTATACAGATCTAGAGCTAAGTTCATCATTATTTTAGTACCTGAAGCAGATATTGATTACCCTTCTCTAAAACTGTGATAGCAGCAGCCAGATAAAGACTTCCATTTATTTATTTATAAGGTTAAACCACTTAAGTTCAACTACTGTACATCTTGAGCTGCTGCTGTATGAGCAGTTTGCCAAGTCCAGCTGTAGGTTTTCAGTTAATTCTGGTACTGTTCTGATGGATTCCTAGGGAGCAATGAGTCAGGAGGGGCACTTCAGGTGAGCTTTGAAAATACCTAACAATCAACAACAACAGCTATATTTTAAAGAACAGATTTTCCTTTGACCCCATCCCTTGTCCTCGTGGCTGGACTAGTAGGAGGATTTCTTACTACCTTGAGTGCAACTATTTTCTTGGTGACTGTAACCCAATCTAAAAAAGAAACATTCTCTTGTCCAGAAAACAAGGTAGTATTTGTAGTGAGAAAGGGCCTCTGTTTACCTGGTTGTTACTGTTAGGGAAATCCTGATCCTGAAAGCAGACTTGAATTTCCGCTTCTGATTCTTTTTTTTTTTTTTCCTAAAGACCACTGAAAAAAAAATAGAAGCAGGTGAGCAGGTCTGTATAACAGAATTTCGGCTGTGCAGAATGCTCTGTGCTTCCTAACAAGTAACTCCCTGACATAAGCTATATGTCTAAATTTCTAGACTATAGTGACTTTGCCAATGTCAAATTTGAGGAGAAAAGACATGCGAGTTCCTGACACTTGAGGTATTCAGTATCTGCTTGTAGACAGGTTCCTGACTCTTTCTCTAGCTAATCCCAAATTGGAAAGACTGAATGTGAAACTATTTATCCTCTCACATGGGCATGTCCTTTCTTATGAGGATGAAGTTCTTGCAGAACAATATGGGGAACGTGTACTGGTGTTTCACATATTATATCAAGGTATATTTTTGTCTCTAGGCATATAACACACCACTGTAGTGCTTTTAGTCTCCTTGAATGTCTTAGATCTTACAGAGATCAAATAACAAATTTCAACTGTAGTCAATTTACAGTATGGTGGTTAAGTTTCAAAACCTATGAAATCACCTATAAGCTTACTTGTATTAAACAGGGCAATTACTGGAATAGCAGTCACTTGCAATGGGTCTTCTGTTTTCACTACATCCCAGGGTAAGTATTATTGCAGAGGTATTTACTAGAATCTGCAGTGTAAATGCAGGTTAATGTTTTGTGAACAAAATAGTATGAAACTCTGAAATGTAGTTAAGATTGAATCCCATGAATATCTTCACTGAGAGCAAAATGAAGAAAATATTAAATGGGATATTTCTGGAGTCATTGAGTTCTGGGTTTTTTACAGTCGTGAAAGGAGTGGCCCTAATCTTCTGCCAAATGCAAGATTCTTGTTTTCACTTCGTGCTCAATTCCTTCTTATTGTTTGAGAGAATTTCAGTATTCATATGTAAAGGCTACTTCTGTTTGGCTTTTGGATTGTCACCTTTGCAAGTCACCTATGATAGAAATTAAGTGAAATATATATTTCCTGTAATTCAGTAGCTTAAGTACAGGAATTTGTTAAGTTTTAGATCACTTTGACTCAGGGATTTCAATACTATCTGTATTGAGGCTTGGGAAGGTGGTAATTTCTCCCTGTAGACACCAGAGTTCTCTTAGAGTTTGATGGGCATGGGGGAGTCCATCTGTGACTGGTGCAAAACAGGCTAGTTCCAGGCTCAAGTCACAAGCTCTATAAAGAGTTTCTCAAAGACCATGAGAAACATATACCTGCTTTTCATAGGAAGGCATTTGATATTCAAACAAGAGCAAAATTGCTAGCTTCTGTAATATAAAACAGTCCTTTTATCTTCTATTTTGTCCATTATCCCCAGATTCAACTTTGAAGATGTTTTCCAAAGAATCAAAAACAATCCAGAGAAGTGTGTCCTTTTCAAACATGGTAAGTTGCTGTCAAAATAAAAATGAGTGTCGTGGTTTAACCAACCACGCA